TTCTGTTTCTGAACACACCAACAATTTTTCTGGATTAAATTTTTGACATGTTCTTTTAGCACTGCAAGCAAGCTGCTTGGGCTTCCTAGTATTCCAGCATCTTGCTTGTAAAACAGCTAACAACATGGCCAAATCCATTAGAGCATGCCCTTGTCAACCTCCTGAGTTTACTGATATTTACATTTATGATACAGACAAGTTTTTTGAGAGCCTCTTTTTCTGCTGCCTGGTGTTTGCTTTCATAGAGAGAGGCCAGACAATTGAGAGGGAAGGAGGCAGCACTTGTGCTAGATTTATTGGCACAGCACACTGAAGAGCAAACACACCACCAAATAGAGGATATTGATAAGGAGACTAAATTCATTTGAAATCACTAAAACTCAGTTAGGGGCATATTGTATTAAGTGAAATGCCATTACTGAAGGGCCAAGGGAAAGATTGTATGCCAAGTCATGAGAGCTTTTCAGCTCACTGGAAGGCAGCCATTGCACCCACGCACTACATTCAATGGTTTGGAAGAAGAGATAATTTCTGCATAGATCATAAAGGGACTTAAATCTCTCAGTCCCTAGGAGCACAGACATGAGCTGAATTGTCACCAAGTAAGAGCGTACAAGAGAGGATCCCCATGCAGTAAAAGCATACACTAAGCAAGTATAAATTCCAGCTTTCCATAAAGGCATTCTTTCCCTGCGATTGTGGCACAATAGTGTATTAAAAAATTTCACACTAAGGAGCATCATTTGATTCTGTGATTTGTGTGTGCATGTGTGTGTGTGCGCGTGCATGTATGTGTGTGTGTGTTTGTGTAAAGCATCTCACTCTTTGTTGAGAGGATGACAGAACTCTGGCTTACTTAATGTATTTTAACCATTTTAAAATGGAAAGTTCCTCCAACTAACTTAAGTTCCTGCCCAGACCAAAAGAGCAATTTGGGGTCTATTCTGGGTGCAGGAGAGAGGCTGCTACCTGCCACAAGTAAAAGAATAGATTCATAAAAGCTGTTTTCTCCTCAGCAGACTCCTAGCACTTCCCTGAAGGTTGTTTGAGGTTTCCACACTTGATATCTCTCATGCTGCCCTTTCACTGTTAATCCTAGTGAGCAAGGACGGGCGGTACACAGGAGTCAATTTCAGTGATGTGTATAAATCTTGTTCAGGTTACTCAGACCAAGGCAGCCCCTTATCTAACAAGCACCAGAGCAAACTTTGGAAAAGACTTTTCACCTGTGACAATAGTGGCCCAGTTTTGTCCTCGTCAACAATGGAATACGTGTAATATCTCATGTCAGCTAACTCTATGTCTTATTTATGCCAAATTCTTCTGGGTTCAGCATTTTAAGACAGCCTTTGCGTTAGGATTTTATTCTAGCACAGACTCCTAGAATAACATTGTTCTGCAAAGACAGAAGATACTTTTAAGTACAATTTTATAATGACCCGAATAGAAATGGATTGTTGTCTTTGCTATGCTATCTCACCTGACTGTTTGTAAAGAAGAATGTTGGTTAATCAGGAGACATCATACTTCGAACCTTTGATAGTAAGTACATTGAAAACTATCAGAATTGTGCTGAAACACCAGGAAATAATTCCAACTGTCATAGACGGAACCATGGCTAGTTGGAGGAAGATTAATGAGGGCTTCCACCTAAAATTAAACTTTTTGGAGGGCATGCATTTGAATGCAAGCTCCTAAAAGGAATATGAACACAATAAAAAATACTCATATTTACAAGAAACACATATTCCCTTCTCTGTGGTCAAAAATGCATATGGCTGGCCTTTTGGCAACATGATCATATTTTTTCTTGATTCAGTCAAAGCATGAAAATGAGCTTCATTCTACTGAACTAATCTGCATATGGCAAAATAATTAAAAATTGCAAATGTTTGTAAGATTATCAGACATGATTTGCCAGCATGTGTTTTAGTATATCAAACTATCAAATGAACCAATTTTGAAACAACCAAATTCACATTCTTTAATTACGAAGCTTTAATTGAAGGAAGAAGATAGAGGTCCTGAAAATTAAAAACAAGAAAAAAAGCCTAGATCATCAGTATTTGTATTTATCCCTCTGATATACACTCTATATAAAACCTGAGTGGTCTTTCACCATTCCCATCTGATGATATCTCTTTCCTGGCAAAACTCTTCAATTATTGCCCAGTTTCTCCAGAATAAAGGCTATGCAAATATGCCATGTGAATGGCAACCCTGCATATCTATCAGTCTGGCCTCTGTCTAGCTCTACCACCTTATTTCTAGATTTTTCTTTGTTACTTTTTATGGTTCAGCAACACTGAACTACTTATTCCCTAAACATGCCATGTTCTCTTGGCATCTGTGTTTTTGCATTTTCTATGTTTTGCATGTTCTCATTACTCAATTGGCAAACTTCTATTTATCATTTTAAACCTGAGCCTAAATGTAACTCCTTCTTGGAAGCCTTCCTTAATATACCTAGCAGACTATTCTTCAACTGTGATGTGGCCCCATTTTATTTTGTGTATACACACATTATTGTCATTACAAATACTTGTCTGGCCGGGCGCGGTGGCTCACGCCTGTAATCCCAGCACTTTGGGAGGCCGAGGCGGGCGGATCACAAGGTCAGGAGATCGAGACCATGGTGAAACCCCGTCTCTACTAAAAATACAAAAAATTAGCCGGGCGCGGTAGTGGGCGCCTGTAGTCCCAGCTACTCAGGAGGCTGAGGCAGGAGAATGGCGTGAACCCGGGAGGCGGAGTTTGCAGTGAGCCGAGGTCGCACCACTGCACTCCAGCCTGGGGGACACAGCGAGACTCTGTATCAAAAAAAAAAAAAAAAAAAAAAAAAAAAAAAAAAAAAAAAAAAGCAAATACTTGTCATCATATCTGGTTCTTAAGGGCAGAAACTATGTAATTTCTTTCTTGTTTCTTCAGTGCATACTATAGTATTTTATATATGTGCGGTCTTAAAGTGTGAATGAATAAATGAATCAATCCATACAAGAGTTAATGAATGAAAGTAGCTGTAGAGAATACATTTGTAACTTTAAACACATTGCAGCGTGTGAACCTGGGAGGCGGAGCTTGCAGTGAGCCGAGATCATCGTGCCACTGCACTCCAGCCTGGGTGACAGAGCCAGTCTCCATCTCAAACAAACAAACAAACAAACGAAAAACAACAACAAAAAACATTGCAGCAAAACAGATGTTAAAAAAGAAAAGGTAAGTTCCCAATTCCTCTCTTTTTGTGATTTGTAATATAATTTAGGGAGTCTTAGAGCTGGACTTCCCAGAGCTGATGGTATGATGGTTTTCCTTACCACAGTGAACCACGCTAAAATTTTCTCAGAGGCACAATATTTGTCTACTCCTCATCTTCTCCCTCCTCCTCCTTATCATCAATGTATACATGTACAAAATTGTACTCTTGTTCAGAATCTTCTCATTCATCAAAACAAAATTAAATAAACTCGTATACATAACCATTCATGGCTCAAAGAAAACCACTGTTTCCCAGGTCAAGAAAAACCAGCTTACAGAAGCAAAATAAATATTAAGCTTATCACAGAGCCAAAATGATATACATGTCCAGATATGAGCTGTTTTTAACTTTTAAAATAAGCAAGGTACTATTTTCACATGATGGCTTAATACTTGAGTCTCTCAAATTTTACCCTGAGAAGAGATCCCTGTCTGGCCAAGGGAGTGTGTCCTATTGCAAAAGGATGAGAACATGCTAGGGTTTTCTAATGCCTTTTTCGCATGCTCATAGGCAGAGTATCAAGGTCCGCATTTAAAAATGCCATTTATTTAAATATTTCCTTAATGGTGGTACCCTCAAACACAGTATTCATACCTACCTCACAGTAGTATTGGTAGCTACACTGGATACTATTTACAAAAGGTATAATTTCTTTCTTAGAAGGAATTGTATTAAAAATTAAAAATGTTAAGGATGTAGTTGAGCAACACCATATTAATAACTCCAGTGTCCAGAGAATGAAGTGTGCTAGATACTTGAATTTTCTGGTTAATAGAGTATTGTACTTTCTAAGAGAGCAGATTAGGAGGATAGGCTTGAACTTAAACTGCTTACGTTCAAAACTGAGCTCTGCCACTTCCTAGCTGTGCAAGCTTGGGCAAGTTTATTCCCTTCTCTGGAAACTCAGTCTTCATTTTTTGAAAAAAAGAACCATGATGATATCTGTTTCCAGTGCTGTGCCAAGTCATATTTGAGCCTGAAGCAAAAAGGAAAATGGTGTGCTACTACACACACTATAAAATATCCTCTAATATTTTTAATCAAGTGGAAAAAGTTACTAAGTTCCACAATCAGAAAAGCATGTCAATATTTAAAGCTTTGCATTGTCCAATCTGTTCACAGCCATTGTCAACCCTTATAAATTTACCCTGCAGGGTGTGCAATGATACCCCAGGACCAGAACCTTGGGCTGATTGAAAATTACTGTTCAATTGCATGATAATACAGGATCACAAAAGACAATGACCTATCTTTATTTTGAATTCTGATATTTTATTCGTTATGAATTTTTAAATTTATTTTTATTTTAAAAATATTTTATTAAAATACGATTTATTTTGATTACTGAGATTTTTGGTATTCACTTTAATTTTGTGCACTAACCTCACCTGAGTCATGCCTGTGTCTAGCTGGTGGGATGTTCTGAGGATGAAATGAAATAATTATTGTAAAGACCTTAGCAGTAGGCCTGACACATACTTAGTGCTCAGAAATGTTGTTAATTAACATTGTTCTTGAAAAGGTAATAGGCATAGGAAGTATAGGTTTTGACCCTTTTTGCCCTTTGTGGGATAATCTTCTCAATATGTCAGTGCTCTCCCTTAATTCTCTTGAGTCCTATTAACTTATAACCACCAAACTAACCACATTAATTCATTTTAGAACCCATTAGATATCCTTTAAACAGAGTAGTTATGGTACAAATACCTTAATTTCTGCCTTTTGTCTTTCTGAACAAACTCACCATTTGGATTGAGGAGGTTGGTTGATTCAGTTCAACACTGAAGTTCACGCTTTTGTACGGAATTGGTCATTTGTATGGTTTGGTTGAATAGTCAGTCCGTCATAACACTTAAGCCAGGTGTTTGTGCAGATTTAGTGCCAAAGCTACGGCCCATGTTGCGAGGCTAAGTAAAGGTAGCCTTCTAGAAAATACAGCTAATTGAAGACTGATCTCTCCAATCACATTGTTCTTTGTGTCTTCACAAAGTAACTTCTATGACAGTCCTGCCATGATCTGAATGTCTACGACCCCTGTAAGCAATGCCCTCTGCTGCCTTCTGAAATCAATCCACCTGACCAGATTATGATGCTGATTGTGATGTGACACATGAGATATTTAAAAAGTGTTTCCAATAGCAACCTTGTCAAAATACATTTGCCCTCTCAAAAAAGGAATACAGCGACTGCATGGCTGGTTCCAACATACACAAATGCATGGTAAATAACCAAAAAATAAACAAATACAAGAGGAAACTTAGCTGATGGGATTTTAAGTGAGTGATATTTTGGAAGGGGTTAAGCATTCCTACAACTAATATATGACTGAGAAGATTCAACCTTAGTACCTGCATGAGAATATTATAAACCAAGCCCACACAATATTAAAATTAGTTAAAATATATGCAAAATTTATGAGAGAATGTCAGGTGTAATGCTTGATAAAGTAAGCTTAATGCTTAAGAAATTTATCTTTAGGCTGAAAAGCCAACTCTTGCAATTCTGAGTTAGAGTATAATTTTAGAAACTCTTTTCTGTAAAGTCATTCTTTTATTAATGAGATCAGCTCTAGGTGAGCTGAAAGAGGTAACTTCCTAAAGCATCCAGTAGGATAAACAAGACCCTCAAAAGCACTGGGACATCAGTAGTTAAAAAATACTGGGGAAAAAATATGTCCTCAAAATTTGTGTCTGTTCCGTTATATTTCTTTTGTTGTTTGGGATATTGCTGAAGCTTGTGAAAAATAAAAGTTTGGGGACTGACAGAGGCTCTGCATTACCTTAGACTTTTCTTCTTCACTCTGGGTGTGTCACGTGTTACACTGGGTGACACCTTTATTATCAGGCCAGAATTCAATGTAAATATACCACCAGAAAGTCCAGAGAGCAGACTTCCATTGGCTAATTAGTCACATACTACAGCTCCCAGTTGAAATAATGTTGTGGATGAAAGAAGAGAAAAATCTGCTTATTGCACAGTCCCTCTGCAGGATAACTCAATCTCTTCTTTATAATCCAAACACTGTTATTCACAAAGCAGGCAAGTATAAACTCAATCAGTCAGGGTAAATTATTGACAGCAGACATTGTTGAAGCATCCAGCAAGGGTTAGAAAAGAACATCAGACATGTTTAAGCTTGCGAAATCATATCATGTTTAGGAACACTAGTCATTTTTAGATGACCTTAATCTCCAGGCTTTTGGCATGCTGCCCAAGAGCGGGGATTTGGTGTGTATATCCTTCGCAAGGGTCTGAATGGGTAAGAAGTTTCAAGGAATTCAAGACTTTTCGTGCACCATGAATTTGAAAACTGTCACTTTGTAAATATCTCAATTCCCGATTTTTGTCTCTAATGCACAAAGTATTTCTGAGCAAGTATGGCATTCCGAAACAAAGTTGGAGTTAAAGAAATACCTAAGTGACTTATTTTATACCTGCCACAACTCTTTTCAGTCACTTCTTCAATTCTGCAACTCAATATCAAAAACAATAATTAAAACAAAAGAAGAATGTAATGGTTTGGTTAACCTTTACTGTAATAGCTAAACTTCTTCTTGGCACTATAGAGTGGTTGGATAAAGGATTACCACTATTGTAGAATGATGTTCCCAGCAACACACCATTAGGAAATACTTGGGTTGGTAATCCTGCCTAAAATGTTCAAATAAGGCCAATTAACTTGTTCATAGCTGCTTTACATGTCTTATTACCTGATATAATTGTTTTAACAGCTGTCTTACCAAAGAATAGCATTAGTTCAATATTAACTTCCCTTGCTCTGAATTCAACTGTTTTTCTTCTTTCATTGTGTCATGTCTCTGTCCTACTCCTCCCTTTCCATTTTTCTTTTACTTTCAACTTCTCCAAACGTTTTTTACTAGATAGTATTTTATACGGGTTATATTTCTTGAAAGCTATTCTAAACCTTTCTTAAAAAATGAGAATGATCAATAAATTGTCCACTTGCCAATTCTTAAAGAAAAAGAGAGAGAGAGGTTTAAAAAGTGAAGAAAATTGCTGTGAAGGTGTGACTGCCAGATGCCAGAAGAGTTTAGATGAGTCGATGCAAATCTCTCTATATGTGGAGAAAGAAATCTGTAGATGGATTTCTATATTCAGTGGAATTAGGTGAAGCTCTTACATCAATATTAGGTATTGAATCTGACCTTTTTTGAGGAATAGTTTATGGAACGGATAACCAACATTATTTAAGGTTGCATAAGTTACAAGGTAGTATACTTACCGTAAGCATTAAAGGCTTCTGGAGAAATAAATGAGTAGCCTCAGAGGATAACAGCTCTCAATATTCATGGCCAGAGGCCAGAATGTCAGAAAGAAAGTGATCATCTTCTTTTTTAACAGTGACTTCCCCTGGATGGGGAATGGAAAGCCTCTTTGGTATTCACTGCGCACCAGCAAGGAGTGTGGATCCTTCTGGGTTTTGTACAGGGCCCAGCTCTATGCACACTCATTACAAGGTTATTACTATCATTATGGTGGACAATGCAATAATATTTTAAATGGGCCAAATTTGGCTCCTAGCTATTCATGTGCTGCTCTTGCAGGCCTTAGGGAAAACAGCTTATGAGTGCAGGGAAATCGAATCTGGCCCAGATCCCATTGCTTCCTCTACAACACATTGAAAAGAGCCTCTGTGAAGAATTTCCATGGTTCTGGTTTGCATGAGCTCTGACGATAAGAAGTGGACTTTGTGGATAACTCTCTGGGTCTAATGGAAGAACTTATTTGAGGCAAAAAATATAAAACAAGTGAAGTTAGTTGCCCAAGCCATCCATTATCCCTTTCTGATGCATTTCCCTGACAGCTATATGTCTTTCTCTGATCCTATTCTCATATTCCATTTTTCCTCTTGTGAAGAAGAAAAAATTCAAAGAAAGCCAACATCTGCCAAAGCATGTTTCATGGGCTAGTGGTTCGTCAAAGTATCTTGCCATAAAAATTTCCGGAGTCAGATAGATTTTGGAGAAGTCTGTCTTGGAGAGTCATAGGGCACATATGAACATGCTAGAGATTTTGAGTGGCTCCAGAGGAAAGGGACCTGTAGAACTATGTGTAGGGCCCCTGTTTGTGACATAAGATCTAATACTTCTTAGAATTAATATTGTTCTGTGGAATTATGTTTCAAATTTTACAGGTCTTATGGAAATAATAATGTTTAATGTTGAGGGTGTCATGTTAAGTTCAGCTGTCAAACTAAGCTATACCAACTGAATATTTAAATGAGAAAGAGTCTTTCAAAACCTCATATCCAAAGCAGTGAATCTAGATGAGAACTTCAAAAAATTATAAAGGCTTTTTTTTTTTTTTTTTTTTTGCAGACACAATTCTGTATGAGAAACAAATTACCTGGTATGAGAAAATTCTTGGTATCATCCAGTGTAACTGATGTTTATCATAGTTTTAGCAACTACAACTCATAATAATAAGACAGTGTGTTAAACACGGCATACCTTCCCTGATTTAGGAGATAGCTTTGCCATCAGTTGAATGATTTCTGGGAATCAATGCTAAATTTTGAACATTGTTTTGGATTTATTCCAAATGTAAAATCTAAGACAATTAACTATATAGAATATGGACCCTTGAAACTTCAAAATGGACATTTCTTTTCAACCAGATTTCTGGTAACTTTTAGTCTTGATGAAATGATTAGCTAACTGATTTTCAACTAATTTAAGAGTAGGATTCCAGCAAAACAGTTTGTGCATACAACCACCTAGGCAAAGATGCCCCTGGCAATTGTTAGCTTGCTCTCCCTCTGCAGAATTCCTGGGGAAACATGATCCACAGTCAACTAACCATTTTCATTAATAAGCACTTATTCCTGTAGAAAGAAACATAACAGGCTACTCCATCCACAGACTTTAGGCATGCAGCTTGTGTGCAAGTGAAGCTTCCATAATGTCGTTATACTCTCATTTCTCTGCAAGGTGGCATTACTAGGGAAAGTTTAAGGGTGGGCAGGAAATGATGCAAAACTTTTTCCTGTGGAAGTGATTCTTTATCTGGATTAAGGGCAGTACACAATTTTACAAGAAACAGAGCTTTCTGTAATTGTTGCATTGGGGTACATGTAAGGAGACAGATTGCACTACATATACGTCACATGGCCCTTTTGTGGTATTGATGTTTCTTGTGATAAAAAGTAGACAAACCGAACATTCAAGGGTACATTTTAGAATAGGATTTTCAGCTAAGCAAACAAGAAACCTGCACAGAATAACAAATTTATCCAATTAAAAAAATCTTACACATAAACTAAAAAGAGCACTGTATTAATCCATTCTCACTCTGATATAAAGAACTGCCCAAGATTGGGCAATTTATAAAGAAAATAATTTTAATTGACTCAGTTCTGTATGGCTGGGGAGGCCTCAGGAAACTTAAAATTGTGGTGGAAATGGAAGAGGCATGTTTTACATGCTGGCAGGTGAGAGAGAGCAAGTGTGTGAAGAAGGAACTGTCAGGCACCTATAAAACCATCAAATCTTGTAAGAACTCACTCACTATCATGAGAATAGCAGAGGGGACACCATTCCCATGAACCAATCACCTCCTATCAGGTCTCTCCCTGAACATGTGGAGATTATGGAGCTTACAATTCAATATGAGATTTGGGTGGGGACATAAAACCTAACCATATCAAGCACTATCTAAGATCAAGAATTTACTTTGGAAACATAAAAGTCAGTGTTCCCCTTTATGTTGGGTTGTTTGCAAAGACAGGATCTAAGAATCTACTAAAGCAGAATTTTCACTATTTAAGATCTATAAACAAAAATTTTAGTGGACAGCAGGGCAAAGAATTCAACTGAAAATAGTCAGGTTTTCTAAGTAAATTGGAACATTTTAAATTATCCCATAAATTTAATAAATGTTTACTAATAATGTATTAAAATCAAGTGCTGCTCTAAGCTGGTTGAGGAAGTTCTTTAACAAGTTTGAAGGCACTACTACCTGTTTACAGAGTGACTTGAACCTAATCTTCAGCCCAGAAATAATGAGTCCTGTGGAGAAGTAATCCTGTCCATTTACATGGCTGTGAATACAGTGAAGTCAGAACAAGAAGTCTGTGCAACAGAATAAATGTACACTCTGATTCAAGGCTTATTGATTCAGTATTGAT